CTGGCTGAGGTCGGGTCCTGAGGCCAGGCCGCGTCTGGAGGAGCTGTCAGGTCGGACCGTCCTTGACCGCGGGGTGCTGACCGCCCGGCACTGACCGGAGGGTGCTGAGCACGAGGCCCAGGCCCGCAGGCCGGCCCCCGCCAGAGCACACCTGCACCAAGGACCCGGGGCTGGGGCCGCCCCAGGCAGCAAGAGCAGGTGGGGTCGGCGCTCCCTGCCGTCTGCCTGGCAGGGCTCGGTGCCAGTCGGTGACTGGCCTGGGCATGGCCAGTGTCGTTTAGACTCTGCCCCAGGGGAGCGGGTCACGTCCACCGCAGCCTTGAGAGCCGCCGGCTAGGCAGGAGGCCGCTTCCGAGCTCGCTGGCCAGGCTCCTGCGCTGTGCGCCTGTGCTGGCTCCCCGAGGGGCCGCGGCCGGGGGGCGCCTGAGCCCCAGCCCGTCCCAGACCCACTGTCTGCCACCGCCCTCGTAACCCAGCCGCGGGGAGGCCCTTGCTGGCCGTGAGAGTGGAGGGCCAGCCTCCGTGTCCCCCATCCGCCGGGGCTGGGCCGGGGCTGGGCCGGGGCGGGCGCAGAGAGGAGGTTTCGTTCTGCGTCCCGAGGGGTTGGGGCCAGGCGAAGTGGACGCGTGGCATCTTGCCGGTATCTGCAGGGTCCCCGGGGGCTGTCGGACGCTGTCCGACCGTGTGGCGGTGTCCGGGTCCCGTGGGGCCCCAGGGAGCGCTCACTCGGGGCAGCAGAGACGAGGGGCCTTGTGGAGAAGGGCGCACTCTCGGGGCGCCTGGACCTGTGTGCGGACAGTGTGTCCATGTTTGCCCGCCGGTGAGCACTGACTGACGCCTGCGCCCGCACCCTGGCCACAGGCCCGATCGTGTCGGGGGAGGCCCTGGCGGTGCCTGAGCTGGGACCCGACTGTCTTTAGACCAAGACCCCTGAGCCAGCCACCCTTGGGGGCCCGGCTAACGGGGGGCCCTGGCCCCTCCCGGGCCTGGAGCCGCAGGACAGAGCCCCCTCGTCGCCATGTCCGTGGCTCTCGGTCAGCCTGCCCACTGTCTGAGAGGCAGCTTTGTGCTCTTTTAAGATTTACTTTATTTGTGCACACTAGAGCTGGGGCGCAGGCCAGAGGCTCGGGGTGAGAAGACTCCCCAGAGACAGTGGGGAGCAGAACAGGCGCACGCTGCTGAGGGGGCAGCGGGGACTGGAGGGGTGTGCTGCGCCCTGGGGGTCCCTCCCTGGCCGGGCATCGAACTCAGGCTGCTGCGGTGGCTGGGGACAGCTGTAGCCCCGCCCCGGGGCAGCCCAGCTGTGTCTGAAACTTCGCACTGAGTTAGAAGTTTGGTTTCCAGCCCAGAAACCAGAGAAGCCGGGAGTTTGCAGGCACGTGGGGGAGGCCTCGTGGGCGGCTCGGGACGCCCCCTCTCCACTCGTCCCCAAGAAGCAGCCACGGCCCGGGCCCCCGAGCTCCTACGGGGTCCCTCTCGGGGGGGGCGCCCGCTGGGTCAGGGCAGCCCGACAGCAGCACCACCGGGCCGTGGGGCCCGTGTCCCCCCGCTGACCTCCGCTCTGCCTTGCTGACTCAGCCCCAGACTCACCCTCCCGGCCCCGGCGCTCTGCGTGCCGAGCTCACAGGCCCCTTACTCTGGCCCCGTGGCCTTCCTCCCCCCAGAAGTGGCCGCACCTGACACCGAGCACCCCGGAAGTATGACGGTGCGTGGCACAGACCGACAGTGCTTGGGACAGAACAGCCGGCGGCCCGCTGTCTGCCCCGGGCCTCCTAATGCGGGCCCGGGCCGTGTCCCGCGCTGGGGCACCGTCTCCTGGCGGGCGGGGAGCGGTGCCAGCGTGGGGCAGCCCCGGGGTCAGCGATGGCGACTCTGACCCCTGCTGCTGCCTCCCGGCCCGGGCAGGACTCGCAGCGCCCGGCCCACAGTCACCCGCGAGCAGCGCGGCCCACCGTGGTGGGAAAGCTGGGCACCCTGGGGTCGGGGGGCAGGTCCAGGCCGGGAGAGCCTGGGCGGGCATTCAGGGCTGAGGGGGGCCGGGGTCAGAGGGGAGGCCACCAGGGGCAGTGCTGTGGGGGTGCCCGTGGGGCTCCGTCCTGACCCCGAGCAGGGAGGGGTCTGACCAGGACGGGGCGCAGCGTCCAGGGAAGGCCACTGTGCCTGGGGTGTCTGGGCCCGGGGCCAGCCCGGGACAAGGAGCGGGCGCTGGCCCCAGCAGGCAGGCGCCTCGAGGTGAAGACGCTTCTCCGCGGTGCCGGCGGGCGGCGCAGGGGCAGAGTTGACTCTGAGCTGGGGGCCGCGGGTGGCCTCCGGGAGCCGAAGCTGGGAGGAGGTTGGGTCAGCGCCGGTCTGCTCGGGGGCGGGGCTGACCGAGCTCCCCGGCACCCCGAGCCCTGACCGCCCCTCTCTGCAGGCTGCGTCATCACCATCTCCGGCCGCATGACCTTCACCAGCAACAAGTCCATGGAGATCGAGGTCCTGGTGGACGCCGACCCCGTGGTGGACAACTCGCAGAAGCGCTACCGGGCCGCCAGCGCCTTCTTCACCTACGTGTCCCTGAGCCAGGAGGGCCGCTCGCTGCCCGTGCCCCAGCTCGTGGTGAGTGGCCGCGGCCCGGGGCAGCCCCTGCTCCCCTGGGCTGGCCTCCCGAGCCCCCTGGGCCGTGGCAGCCAGGCCTGGCCACTTTCTGGACCGGCGGCCGCCAGGGCCCTTCCCTGGGTCTGCCGGCGGCCTGGGCCGAGGAGCCCCGGCTTTGTGTGGGTGATGTGGACAAGCCAGGCGGGCAGCAGGCGGGGCTGCTGGCCACAGCGCAGTGCCGGCCGGGCCACCGTCCTGGGCTCCGCAGCCGGAGCTCTGCCTGACCCCCCCGCTGCGGTGGGCTGCCCAGGAGGGGCCCAGACGGCCCCACTAGTGCTTCTTCACTTGGTAAGGGCGGAGTTTGGGGAGTTTGGGCGGCTCCTGCCTGCCCCTGGAGGCGCCCCCCGCCCCCCTCCTGAGCGCCCCCAGGCCCGCTCTCTGCAGCCGCCCTTGCCCTGTTGGGTGCCAGTGTGGGAGGAGCCTCTGCTGACCGCGTCCAGTGCCAGCCTGTCTGCTCTGCCGCCCGCCTGCCCACGTCGGTGTGTGGGTCGCCACCGGGCGGCCCGCAGCACCGAGCTTCGGTCACTCCTTAGGGTCACCCGGCCCGGGAGCGGCCTCGGCACAGCATGGGCCCGCTGGACAGCGGCTGCGAGCAGGCCGGCCCTCCCTGCCCACACCGCCCTGCACAGTCCCACGAGGCAGCCCCCACTGTCCTCCCGGCCAGGGCCGTGGCCCGCAGCTCCTTGCCTGGGCCACTCCCCCGAGCTCGGGGAGCCCAGCCCCGGCCTCTGCCCCGTGGAGGGGCCACCACTCTAGTGCCCCTCACCCGTCTCTTCGCGCCCACCTGTGGTGTGTGTGCCCACGACGGGTGCCCGGGGTGGCCTCGCCCTGCCCAGAGGGGGGTCCGGAGACCTGTGAGCAGCCACAGGCCACTGGCCACCGGCCCCCTCCCGCTGGCCAGGACGGCCAGCGCGGCCTCTGCGGGTGCCCAGGGACCCCAGGGCCGCCGTCCGGGCTGCAGCGACCCAAGCTTACCGGCCACGTAGGGGTGAGCCCCCCAGCCGTTTTGTCCCAGGAGCCCTGGCTGCCTGCTGCTGCTCCCTGTTGTTCCAGAACCTTCCTGGAGCCCACGCGCTCCAGGAGCCTAGTAGAGTGCATTAAAGGGGTGGTGGGGAGGGCAGGAGGTGGGGCCCAGCTGCTTGCTCGGAGGGGCCAGAGGCACAGCCTCCTGCTGGCCGACTTCCTGGGGCTCCAGGCTGTCATCCTGGCCAGTAGAGACTGTCCTGGGGGCCGCTGTGTCCCGGGATCAACGGTGTCGATAAAAATAGCCCCGGTCGGCGCTGGGCAGACCCCAGGGAGGGCTCTGCGGCGCCCGGCCCAGCCGCCCGCACGTGCGAGGTGGACGGGCCCTGGGCCTCCCCGCCCCCTCCCACAGCGGTTCTGCAGCCTCTGGTCTATTTTTAGCTCCCACCAGGGCCCGGCTGCCCGAGGCAGTGGCTGCTGGAGCTGTCTGATGAATATTTGATGCTGGGCAGGCCCACTCTCGGGCTGATGGGCAGAAGAGGCGCCCCGAGGGCAGGCCCCTGGACTCCAGGCTGAGGGCGCTGCCTGGCTCCCGACCCAGGGCGGGGCGCCGGCCACTCGCCACTGGCTGGAAAGGGGCTGTGCGGGGGGCCTGGCCCAGCCCCGACATGCCCGGTGCCCTCCAGGCGGGCACGTGGAGCGAGAGGTGCCCAGGTGGCACAGGGCGTCACTCTTGGCCCAGCGCAGGCCCGTGGCGCTCTCGGGCCGGGCGAGCCCCGCGCAGCCGCCTCACTCCGCAGCCCCAGGGGCCTCTCGGCGGACAGCTGACAGGGCCTGGGCCGGGCCCTAGACCCCAGGCCCCGTCCCTGCGGGGACCCGCCCCAGTGACGGGAGTGCGGAATCGGGGCCATCAGACGCCTCTGGCGGAAGCTGGGTGTGGGTGCCGCGAACCCGTGTCCCCCGCCAGCTCACACCCCTGGGGCCCGAACGGCGCCTCGCCATAGCACACTTTCTCGCTAAAACGCCGGCCGCTTCAGGGGTGCGGCGTGGGCCCCGTGCTGCTATATGGGGTGCCCGCGAATCCAGGCCGCCCCTCGACACTGGCGGCCGCAGCACGGAGGTGCGCCCGGGAGCCACAAGGAGCCCCCGCTGCGTGGGGTGGGGCCGGGGGCCAGATGTGCAGTGAGAGCAGAGGGGCGCCCCGGCTCCCCCCGGGCTGGGCGGGAAGGCCGGCTGGGGCTGGGCGAGGCCCGGCGCTGGCCCTGGACCCAGAGTTCCAGCAAGACAAGCTCCTGGGGTGCCCGTGGTGTCTGAGCAGGGCCGGCCCTGGGCGAGGAAGGCAGAAGTGAGCCGGACCCGCAGCTGAGCACGTGCACAGCCCAGAGGAGGGGAGGAGGCCCGGTCAGGCGCGGTGGGCGTTCACTGCCCGGGGGAGGCCAGGAGGCCCCGTCAGGCGCGGTGGGCGTTCACAGCCCGGGGGAGGCCCGGTCAGGCGCGCCAGTCTCGCCTCAGGGACAACACCCTGCCTTCAAGGGCTTCATCGCTTTGATCTTTAGATTTATTTATACAAGACCTGGGGCGCAGGCCCGAGGTTCGGGAGTGAGAGGGCGCCCCAGAGACAGAGCGGGGAGCAGAGCAGGCAGATCCACTGAAACACGCTGCTGAGGGGAGCAGCGGGGAGGCAGGAGAGGGCTGCGGCGCCTTGGGGCCCTCCCTGGCGGGGTCGCACCAGGACGCAGGGGCTCCCCGCTCCACAGCGCCGACTGACCTGCGGCCAGGGAGGCCCCGCCTTCGTCTCCCTTCAACTCTTTCAGCACGGAGACGGGGGTGGACACAGTCGGGGGGACTGAGCGCGGCTGCAGCGCCGGGAGTGGGGGCCTGCCCTGCACACAGGCACGCATGGCGCCCGGGCACCCCCACTGCGGTGGGTTCATGGGCAGGGCCCCACTTCGGGCACAGCTCCCCGGGCCTGGGCACTGAGTCGCCAGGCCAGGCCGCC